CCTGTTTCATTAACAGTATGGCCAGTTTCCCAGCATCCAGGCTTTAACATCAGAATAATTTTTGTTGTCTTCTCCCTAACGTCTTGCTGAGTCATATGGCATCTAAGCCATATTTTTTGTATTAATCTCTTCCATTTCTATCCCATCCACTTTTTCCAGTTATTTCAAGTATACTTTTTTCCCCCTAGGGGTGTCGAACTCAATCAGAGAAGGGGCCAAAATCTAAAATCCAGCCTAAAACGCGGGCCGAATGGTTTACTGAACAGTCATAAACTGTCATTGTGATGGAAACGCAGCGGAGTGCAGAGATGACAGCGCGGTGCAGGCCACATTGCAAGGCCCGGCGGGACGGATTTGGCCCGCGGGCCTTGTGTTTGACACATGTGCTTGTAATAGCTTCCCAACCCTCTCCTCATTTTCTTTCTCTTCCCATAGAACCCATTCTATAATAACATAATGACTATGAATGATTTCACCAAATCTGTTTAAAATTCCAATCTCTGAGAGTCAGGACCTTCTGCAACAGAGACCCCAATGTATCTTTCCAAATAGGTCACTTGCTCCAGCTAGCATTTCCATCTCTGTGCTTTTCTTGGCCCATCCTTCTGAACCAGCTTCCTTCTTCCTCCCACAGGTGCACCTTTCAAAATTTTACCCACCCTTTGAGTTCATCTCAAATGCTCCTTAAGCACATGCATCCATGGAGGACAGCTAGATGAGGGCTGGAGCAGATTGCTATAAGGCATGGGGCACTCCAGAAATCCATGGATGGCTCCAGGGGAATTTATGAATGTCCTAATTTTATGAAGAAGGAAAAAGTACACTTTTGCAGAGATGACTTTTACCAAATTTAAGGAACCTAAAAATATTTCAAGTTTCCTAGAGGTAACATCCCTCCCAGCTTTCTCAGCATCAACCACGATGCACCTGCATTGGAGCCACTTGTCTAATTTCCCTCTAAACCATAAGGGATGGGCTCTGTCACCCTCTTGATATCACCCAGTGCCTTCCCTAGCACTCCTCACAATTATATTGAATATAAAGGCCCAGTGCACAAATTGGTGCATGGGTAGCCTGAAGGAATCGGGCCAAAGCCTGCAGTCCAACACCACCTGCAGTTCCAACCTCCTGCTCCCTTTCATCCCAGCCCCACTGTGCCTGCTGCAGGCTCATGCCCAATCAGTCCCCATTGGGAGAGGTTCTCACTGCCACAGCAGAGCTCCCCAGCCATGAGCCCTGTGTCTGAGCCCTCCTAAGGGGAGTGGCCTGCGGTATCAGGCTGAAACTGGCTCTCCGACATCCCTTGAGGGGTCCTGGATTGCAAGAGGATGCAGGCCAGGCTGAGGGACCCCACCAGTGCATGATGGGGCCAGGGAGCGACTGCGGCCATCTTGCTCAGTCCTGATCAGCCAACCCCAGCAAGCTAACCTACTGCCCCCTAGTTGTCAGTGCACATCATAGTAAGCAGTTGAGCAGCCTTAGCATATCATTAGCATACTAGGGACCTGTTGCAGGAATATTCCTGCAAGACTTCCAGCAGGCTTCCCTCCCACCACTGCTACCTCTCCCGCCCTCCCACCTCTTCTGCTGCGGCAAGCAGAGTGGGGCAGGGAGGGGAGGGATAGGCAGGGAGGGGCAGGATGGGTAGGGGACACCCCACCCATCCCACCCGCCCCACCACGCCCTTGGCCACCGCTACCACCATCTCTGCAGCTGAGTTTGCTGCCAACACCACTGCACACCTCACCCGCACGCCTGACACACCACACCCACTGCCACCACCTCTGGGGCCACACATGCAGCTGCTGCATGCCCTGCCGCCCCACCACCTCCCCATGCCTCCCGCCACCTCCACAGCAATGCGTGCCACCACTGCACACCTCGTCCCATCCCACCCCGAATGCGCTGCTAGTGCTTTCCCTCCAGCAGCCACAGCCACCTTTGCTTTCCACTTTTCATCCCTCTTCCTTCTATGCTGTCTTCAGTCTTTACTCCTCCCTCCTTCCGCATATGCAAATTAACCACCATCTTTGTTGGGTTAATTTGCATACTTGCTCTGATTGGCTGGTGGGCATGGCTTATGGGTGTAGCGGAGTGATGGTTAATTTGCGTATTACTTTATTATTAGGTAGGATTATGCTTTGATTAGTTGTTTGGTTATCCTGTCATTTGGTCTATTTGCATATTACCCTTTTATCATATAGGATCTGCTAATTGCTATGCATGGTGCTCAATGCTGAGGGTAAGGAAATGAAAGATGAGCTCCCTGCCTTCATAGAGTTCACAGTCTAATGAGCAAGGTATGCAGTTAAACCCACAATTAAAATAGTTTGTGAAAAAATATTCTGCTGGAATATGCATTGACAAAGAATATCCCAGTAGGGCCTGGGGTGGTCAGGTCACCCTTTCAGAGATGAGGAATCAGCTAAGTCTGGAGGATCAGATAAGATAGCAGATACCAGAGAAAGGAAGAATCTTCATGAGAAAGGAGTAGTTTTTGAGAAACACTCCCTGCAGTGTGGTGTGAGTGGTATGTTTTAGCTCAAAGATGGAATGAACATGATGCAGAAAGATTGCCATGAGTTTAGGACTTTGAATTTTATCATGAACAGCATGAAGGAGCCAATGAAGAATTAAAAGCAGAGGAAGTACATGATAATATTTACATTTTAGGGCAATCATTTTTGCATTGGGGTGAAAAATGCATTACATCAGTGAATTCTTGAGAGACTATCCAGCTCCTTTAAATAAACCCTGTTAAAAGGCTAAATCAATACCATGGTGTTTGAGATGGGGAAAAAAGGAATCTAGAAATATTTAGAAATTAGAATCAACAAGATACAAGTACTAATTAGATGAAAAGAATAAGGTATAAAGAGGAGTCATGAATAACACTTGCATTTCTGGCCTGTGCATCTTAGTAATAAGTGATTATTTCCTGAGACCAGGAATGCAAAATGTAAGGGGAGGAAACTCATGGGTTGAATTTGTACTTCTTACAGGACTATTTTAAGAAACTTGATGGGGCAGCCATTTGCAGAATGGAGAGGGGTGAAAACTGGTCTTGGATGTGTGGGCTGGAGTCTCCACACATATTCACTCAAGGTCCTCAGGGATAGAGCCATAAGGTTATATGCATTGGCATCCTGTGCTGGAGTTCTGGTCCTCTTAGCCCTGAATTGAGTCCCTGGCAATAATAGAAGAATCCATCAGCGCCCATCCTGACATCAGCATCAAGGATAGGTAGGAGGAACTATAAATGAAAGAATGGAAGCCAGGGGAATGCTTCTCTCCTGCAGTTATCCAGATGGAAGACATTGAGAGCCTGTAACAAAGGAGTCGCCTTTGGGGCAGGGGGATTTGAGCAGGTAAGAGATAAGCAAGGTGTATCTCTTCTATTCTCCTATCTCCATTCTTCAACCTTCTGTCTCCTCCTTGAGGTGGCAGTTCTCCCCATCTCCTCTATGCTCCCTTAGAGCCCCTCCCATTTTCTCCAGGTAGGAGACTTATCCCCCCAAACTAGACTGAAAGTCAGGAAACATGTCTGCTTGATCTTTTCCCTCAGCCTCTGAGTACAGCATCTAGCACCCAGCACTGTACATGTTTTAGTAGTCACCCTCAGCTCCATGAGTAGGCCCCACATGTCTCCTTACAGAAGTGAGGCCAGGTGGGACTCCAAACACTCCTCTCCTTGGGTTCCACATAATTAGCTTGGAGCCTTTCCTATTTCCTGAGTGCTCTGAAGCTGCCTGCCCTTCTGGACTACAAACATGTCTTTTAAAATGAATCACTCCTCCTCAAGATCTACTTCAAAATTTCCAGTGAGTTCTCTTCTTTTTATCTTACTGCCTACCATCTGACCCAATTCCCCTCTGTAATAAACCCTTCTTTTCAACTCATTTACCCACTTTTTATTGGAACATTTTATCTGAATTTTGGTATATTCTGGCCATTTCTTACTCAAATAAAAGATGGCTTCTCTTTTTGTTTAGGTGTGGAGTCCTGTACAATATCTACTTGGTGATATGCTTTCTTTCAAGACCTTTCTGAAATATTTTTTTCTGTAACTGAAAGTCAGTGGAATTTTGCACAGGGACTGTAATGGCTGAGTCCAAAGCACAGTGGTATAGCTGTCTATTGACCATTTAGTACCTCAAGTTTATCACTTTGATGAATAAATAAATTGACATTTGCCCAGCAGTCATATTCTTGAGTGGTAACTGAGAGCTTTATAGCTCATCTTCCTGATACTCATAATTTAGAGCAATTTCTTCTAAGAATATTTAATTGGCCTACCAGTTTGGCTCAGTGGAAAAAAACATCAGCCTGTGGATTGAAGGGTCCTGGGTTCGATCCCTGGCTCTGGTTGGGGTGGATGTGGGAGGTAACAAATTGTTGTATCTCTCTCACATTAATGTTTTTCTCTGTCTCTCCCTATCCTTTCCACTCACTCTAAAAATCAATGGGGGGGAAATATCCTCAGGTAAGGATTAACAAACTAAGAGCATTTAGTTAATACTCAATTTAATACTTTAATATTCAATTCAATTTTATTCTTCCTAAGACATTTAATTCAACAAGTAGTTATTAAGCTCCTATAGAAAAAAATGGCAATTTTCTGTGTTTTCACAGTATATCTAGGATCATCTTGAAAGTTGACCCCCATGTTACAATGTCATCACTGAAGAGAGCTAAGTGTCAACTGTAAACACTGTCTGGGCTTCTTTTGAGTCATCTCTGAAAATGTTCAGTAAGCCAGTGTCTTATCCTTGATAAAGATGTTCCCCCCTGTGATGGTTAATTTGATGTGTCAATTTAGCTGGGCCATGGTGCTCAAATGCATGGTCAAATGTTCTTCTGGATGTTTCTATGAGGGGGTTTTAGATAATATTAACATTTAAATCATCGGGACTTTGAGTAAAACATGTCTCCCCTTTCCCCCTACCCCACTACTGTGTTGGGCATCACTGAATCAATTGAAAGTATAAATAGGACAAAAGACTGGCCTCCCCTAAATAAGGGGGTATTCTGCCAGCAGACAGCCTTTGGACAGCAGACTTTTCTCTGGGTCTCTAGCCTGCCAGTACCCTCCCCACTGCAGATTTTGGATTTGCCTTCCTCCATAATCATGTGAGTGAATATAATAAATAAATAAATAAATAAATAAATAAATAAATCTCTTCACACACACACACACACACACACACACACACATTCTATTGATTCTATTTCTCTGGAGAATCCCAATTAATACACCCCCAATTGCCATTTAGGTCTTCGAAATGGACAATTTTGTCTTGGCAGAAAGGTAATTTGGGTAGAGCTAGGTTGTTGGAGATTATGACTAAAGACCTATGAGCATAAGGGTGAAAGGGATTCTCTGGAGGTCTGATCCTTGACTGGGCATATGATTTGGGGGAAAGAATTCCTGAGAGAGCCAAGCAAGAGGAGTAGCCTCTTATAATGGTATCCTGGAAGCAACCTAAGAAATTATATAGGTCTCTGAGAGGGTATCAGTAATTAATGCAATTTAAGTAATTAAATTTAAAATATGTTGAAGTTTGACTTTCAGGGTCCTTTATGTATTTTTTTGTGTATTACTCTGTGAAGTCATTTCATCCAAGACCATAGGGGACTGGAAGATTGCCAACTCCACATTAAAACCATTTTTTTCATACTGGTTTGACATGGTGCTGGGACACATAGGATCTACTCTACTTTGAAGCACTGATTCCAATCCTATGGCTTAAAGAAAGCAGTAAAACTTTTCTTTTCTCCAAGTGCCTACACAAATATGTACCAATGTATGCAATGAATGATCTCCTGCAAATTTATGTGTTGCATACCTTTGTGAATTGCTTCATATATTGAAGACACACTAGATGAGTTTGCAGTTTCAAGAAACTTTGCAAGTATCTTATTTCTTGATGTTGTAAGCCATTCTGATTCAAGATCACAACCTCTCTCTAATGTACTAGTATAAGAAGTTCCATTCTGTGCTTAAGAGGTTTAATAACATTCAATTGCCTGAGAGTTATTGTAGAAATGTCTAATGTATTAGCAGAAAGTAGCTTAATGTCTCAAATAAATGCTAGGGTGTCCAAATCAAACTGATTTACAACCTAATTAGGAATAAATGTCACTGTTATCCATATTTTCCTAAATTTTTTTTCAAAAGAAAACATTCACACGGTGAAGGGAATCAGAATTTATTTTTATATCCCTAAAGTTATAAACATTTGTATCAAAATATTTACAATTATAGTATATGAAATATCAATCTATTAAAGAAGAAGCCAAATACAGTACTAGAACAACCCACCACTGTAATGCAGTTACATGAGACATAAATGGCACAGAAATAAAGTAAAAGACATGGGAATACATGGTTCACTCCAGTCATAGTCTGACTTTTTAACATGCAGTTATCTCTTTTGAATATATCTGATATGTAAGTATGCTTCTGCACATAATACAGCCTTCTATAATCATGTGATAATTAAATGATAATTAAAAAGTTTATTATCCCATAGTTTTTGCTTGCCAGCCTCGCTACCTTCAGCCCAGATAATTCAGTGGTCTGTCTTCAACATCCCATTAACCAGAATGAACATAGAGAAATATACTTAGTAAGAGACCTTTTACATAAATACTAGCAATCATTGCATAACAACTCCCCAAAAAAAGGAAAAGTATATAAGAAATGACATGAGGAGAAAGCTAGGAGAAGAAAAGTAGGCAAGATGTCTCAGATTCTCCCTAAGGTAGATCTTCTCAGAGTGACCAAGGAAACGTCTTCCTAAAATAAACCCTTTAGGCAGAATCTGAGATGGCTTAAAATAGCTGCTCCAGGCTAGTGCAGTGCCTGCTTACCCAGGAATAACATACTACCTCTAAGTCCTATATAGAAAACCTCTGTGGCAACAGGCAGATCAATTACCATCTGACTGGGCACCACCAGAGATCTGTGTGTGTGTGTTTTCCTTAAAGAAAAATACCTGCCCATCACCTATGATTTTACTTCTCTCACAGAAATGTTCTTATTTTCTTGGGAGCACAGGCACTCTGTTCTTATCATTACTTAAATCTAATAGGCTTAACACTTTCTGATTACATAGCACCTTTCACCCAAGGACCTACTGTTTTTGGTTTTGGTTTGTGGGTATGTGTGTTTCAATAAGCTTCCAGAATTGTCTTGCCTCACCTACGAAGCAGGATAGACAGGCTTTCTGAAAGCTGACCACTCCAGCCAGTGTCAAAGCCAGAGTGTTGCCTCTGGTCCCCAATATGAATAATCAGATAAAACATCCTGAAAAGTTTATAATTTTGAGGGAGAGTAACAGAGTGTGTTTCAAGGAGCTATGTCTGTCTCTCCCATTCTATATTTAAAAGAATCTTCGCTTGCAGGGAGGGGGAATCCTAAAATCATAACCCTAATATAGCATTGTTGCAGGACTGCCCCAGGAGCCCATAATTAGTGTGGTGCTTTCATTCGTGGCATTACAGAAACTCCACAAGAGCTGCCCTGGCTCTAAGCGAGAGGACTAGCAAGGTCCATAGCAAGAAGTCTCCAGGAGGGACAGTTGTGTGAGGGCTGGTCTGGGTTCGACCACCTCCCCTCCCCACACCCAGGCCTTCCACTGTGAAAAGTTCTCTTTCTTGATTTAACTAACCCACCAACTTGGCTTCATGACTATATCCCTTCCGGCCATTTTGTCGCAAATACCACTGAATTGCACAGAGCTAAATACCTGTTTTCAAGAGGGATGATGACCACAGGAAGCCCTCCTATGGGCCTTTCAAGCTGGAATGTGATGTTTTGCTTTGGGTCAGGAGGGCAGGAGGGCTTCCAGGCCTAGCATGCTCAGTACAAAAACAAGATCTGCCCTTGTTGGAACTTGTACCGCTATTTAACTGGGTGCAGAACGTCTGAGGACCATAGGGCAAGACCCTCAGAAGCTGAGCCAGTGGTGTGGCAGCTGGTGCCCCCACCCCTCCCCACACACACACACACACACACACAGTGTGTGTGTAACTGAGAACTGGTGGCTGGAGAGAGGCTCTCTGGCCCACATCAAGGGAGCATGGAAGCTCTAGCCAACTGTTTTCTCCCAAGGGCAGGGGCTTGACAGTAGAAAACCTCCTGAGTAAAGGTTTGGGTTTCAGCCTCTCCCACCCTCATGTCCCCCCTTCCCCTCCCCCCTCCCCTGGCTTGGCTTTTCCTGCAGAGCAACTTTCACTTCCCTCCCAGATTCCACAGCTCCCTCCTCCCCACCCCCCACCCCAGATCCCCATACACTTGTTCAGCCTTATTTCTTTCTCAGGACCAGGTAGAGAATGCCAATGATGAAGCTAAAGCAGAAGCAGATCCAGGTCAGGATGAAGCAATAGCCGTGGTGGCTTTGGATGAATCCACTTCTATCACCATTTGCATAATGATGAGTGTAGATGGACACTCCGACCATAATGCAAAGCCCTGCAATGACAAAAAAGAAAGTTGAGGTATTTTGTTTTGTTTTGTGTGTGTGTGTGTTTGTTTGTTTGTTTGTTTGTTTTTTGCGGGGGGCAGAGGGAGAAGTTGTTTTGGTTTCTTTCTTCCTTCCTTTCTTTCTTCCTTTTACATTAAAACCAAGAACAGGTTTTGTAATTTTAAAAAGATCCTATTTTCTTCATCTGCAATGGGAAAACAAAATCTGGCTGTTTGGCCCCAAACAGTAGTTCTGTTGATCTGCCCTGACCTGAGCTTGGTGGTCCTGTGAATAAATTAGAGTTGCTTGGGCTCTCACATCTGCACTGGGTTGTGGCTGCAAGTGTGAAGTGAAACACAGAACCTGATGCCCACAACCCAGCCCATGTAGGCAGGCTACCCCGGGATGCAAGCATGCCACCAAACTGGATGTGTGTGGGAAGAATGCAGGAAAAGGAGAGTGGCGATAATTGAGAGCATTGTGGCAGTGGTTTTATCTTTCGAGGATTCCCACCTGTCGGCCCTCTTCAAGCGTCTTGTACACAAGTGCTGCTGGTGGGTGGCCCGCCACTGGGGTTGCCTCAAAGCACTAGACTTAAACAACGAAGCAGACGAGGGTTCTTGTTCCAAGCAGCTAGCAGGGGTTTTCAGAAAGAGGACAAATAACCAGACCCATGTGCTCATCTGTTCAAGTTGCGGGGAGCACCCATGGTAAGATCTACTTAAAAGCTTTGCCTGGACAACACTGGAGTCTGCGCCTGAGATACTCACAGCACACCAGCATGGTGGCCCCCGAGAGGAAGAAGCGGTTTCCCTTCTCCATGGTGAAGAGCTGGAACACGAAGACCACGAGGGAGATGACGGAGAAGATGATGGAAAGGATCATGAAGGCCTGCACTGCCTTGAGTGCATCTGTGGACACAGGGGCAGGAGAGCAGGGGTGTCAGGCCAACCAATTCCCGACAGAGTGGCCATTTCCCCCATCACATGAATGGTCAGCACCGAATACAATAGCTTAACATACCGTCCTCGCCATATGGCAGGAGTCCCTCACAGCTACCGTCGCTACAGTTTTTCCAAAGACCTACTGATGCACTTCTTCTGTCTGCAACCACCCAGACCTGAAGCCAGGAGGAAACAAAACGTTGTTTTAAAACTGACCCTCTGCTTTAAAAGAAAAGCAAATATCAAACCAGCTTGTGTCAGGAACAAATCTTAAGCAAGATACCATATTTAGCCATACATGTGGCTGTGCAACCCATCTCTTAGTGGAAATGAGATTAAATCAAGATTGTATTGCCTGGCTAGTGTAGCTTGGTGGTTGAGTGTCAAGCTATGAACCAGGTTTGTGGGCTCTATTCCCAATAACGGGAATGCAGGAGGCAGCCGGCCAATTATTCTCTCACATCATTAATGTTTCTACCTCTCTCTTCTTCTCCGAAATCAATGGGGGGGGAAATTATATATATATATATATATATATATATATATATATATATATATATATATAATATTTTATATATATAATTTTATATATATAATTTTATATATAATTTAGAATATATATATAATTTTATATATATAATTTTATATATAATTTAGAATATATATATATATATATATATATATATGTATTCTAAAAGATTGTGTCATGTAATGGCCTGGCTAAAAAAAAGGGGGGGAGGAATGTTCACTGGAGACAACTAAGAAACATAGGATAAAAAAAAAATAGCAATGAGTCCTGGTGGTTAATAAGCCACTTTCATCTAAACAGAAGGATCCTACTTTGATTGTCACAGAAACAAACCCCCAACTCTGTCCACATGGAGCGTGTCTGCTAAAATGCACATTACTGAAAAGACAAGGTCAAGGGTGTGCAGCTGCCTGCTCCAGATTCAGCATTCAGCACTTTGGCATCCACGAATACACTTTGAACCCATTCATCAGACCTATTATCCTGAGAGACTCAGGGATTGGCATACAGATGGCTGAATTAGAGTCTGGGGGAGGCTGCATGGGCAAGTGTCCTGTTTTATCACAGTCATGCTTACATTACCCATGCTTATAATCACCCCCACCCCCACCCCCAAGGTTCTAGCTGAACTTTAAAACCCATTTATCCTTTAACTGTGACAGGGATCTATGCAGATTCTGGATCCATCATTTGCCTATCTAGCGACTGGTGTTTTGTGTTTTTTGTGTCCAATAAGCTGTCTTGTTTTTCCTGAGAAAAGCAAAAGAAAAGCAAACTAGCACTAGAGGGCAGAATAGCTCAAGGTTCTGAGAGAAGGGACTTGCTCCCTCCCTAATACTTTATGTTGTTTCCTTTGAGTGAGTGATAATCTTGCAAAATTCCTCCTTGATCATTGGCAGGCTACTACTCTCTGCCAAGGACTTGAATCCATCAGTCTGGCAACCAAAGCTTCTCATCATCCCACTCTCATCTGTCCTAATTGAGGTTCCCAGAAGGAAGGGAAGTTCTGTCCCTGACATAGGTGTCTTCATTATGCCCAGAAGGAAGTCAGTCCCTCCCACCTGGGCACCCTGCCTGGAATGTATCCCTATGCTCCTCCCATTATTCCCTCTTGTACCAAGAGAAAGCCCAGCCATCTAGCACTCCTACAAGCTTCACCTCAGCTGGGAAGACTCCTGTAGAGATTGAAGAAACCTCATTGAGTTCTCCTGCCTCTAGTCTCATGCAAACACTGATGACTTTTATCCTCCTGTTATTTAATTATTTGAAGTGTGAGAGAGAAAGTGTGTGTGTGTGTGTGTGTGTGTGTGTGTGTGTGTGTGTATGTTTCCACACCTAAACTGAAAATTCATGAAGGGCAGGGATTGTGGCTTAAATGTTCTTTGTAGCACTTTATGTAAATATTTAAATAACTCCTGAATGAATGAATGAATGAATGAATAAAAAAAGCATTACTCACATTGGCAATGGTGGAAACAAATAACATAATGACGGTGGCGATGTGGACCACAAAGATGCCAGCCAGTAATACCAACATCTTGGCTTTTTGATGATTTGGTGAGTTAGGAGTCCTGAGAAGAAAGGAGAAAACAAGAGGGAAACAAAAGGTTACCACTGTCAGAGGCAAGAAGATATTCAGCTCTCTCACACCTGTGGGCTATCCGATACAATCTGAAGGTGCTGCAATATAAACCGTCACAATTTCATCAGAAATTCCTAAAAACTCTTAGTTAGCCTGGTTCATTAAGTGCCTATTGATCTATTGACATATACCTATATATAAACACAATTCTGCATCTCGGGTACTGATATACCCATCTCTCCAAAACAGCCTGTTGTTTTTAAAAAGGACATTTTGTAACTGTTACTACTTTATTTTGTTTGTGTTTTAGAGGCCAAACTAGGACTTGGATCTTTTAAAGGCCTCCTGACAACTGTAACTTTCAGTGTAGCAGTGTCATATAAATTTCCATTTTCCATTAGGGCAGTGTCCTTGCCTCTGTCAAGCTGTGCATCCAGCAATTGTCATAGAAATGGATGCGTCCCAAGGAACAGCAGCTATTACTTGGATTCCATAGACGGAAGAGGCGACTTATTTGATCCCAGGTGAGATATAAAATGTGAGAGCCACAACTTCTATTATCAGCATGCTGTTTGGTATTCGACAATTATAACAAAGGAATTGCAGTTTAATGGTCTGACCACCTACAGACTGACCATTGCAGACTTGTGTCACTGCACCTGAGCCTGTGGGCTGTGTGTGCCCCATGGTGGGGAGCCTGCTATTGGCCTGGGAGCCATGTTATATCTCCCACGACTCAATATGACCATTTTGGGGGCTCTAGAAGCAGGCAGCTTGGAATACAACCAAATGTGCCTTCTAAGTGTACGCGACATTTATACAGATTCTAGAAGGCAGGCAAATGCATGAATCACATGGCGGGAGAATTGGGAACTAATATAGATTAAGAATGTGCGTGGATAAACAAAAGTGTTCAGCCAATAATCTCAGCAGTATAGAAAAAGAGAGCCCGTGGATCGTAAAACCCAGGGCATAAAGGCAGTGTGAAGGATGCCAGTGGGAGGCTATTCTGGTTTATGTCCTCTGCAGGAGTGCTGTGTCATGCCCAAACAGTCCCATGCAGTGCAGGCCCCCAGGGACTTCAAAGCAAAGGGTTGAGCTTATTCAGACCCTAGCAGGGTGGGTCATGTGGACTTCCCCCACCTAGGGGGCTCTGCACATCCTGCAATCAGCCCAGGGCTCTCTCTCACTCTGCCTCATTTAATTGAAGTGTTGAGTGTGCTCAAGCAACTTTCCTAGTGTAGCAGGTATTTATTGAAGAGCACTAATTCCAGCACTTCAGGTGCCTTTTATCTCTGCTCAGGAAACACTGGAGTGCTTTGCTCTTTACAGGCCAATCGTGAGAGGCAGACACTTCCACATTTGCTCCAACAAGCCCCACCCTTCTTCCCCATCCAAGCACTTCCCTTCCACCCAGGCTATTTCATAGGAATTTGTCCAATTTCACTGTGGGTGACAAAAATGATGAAGTTTTTCCTGTCACCTCGGGGGAGAACTATGAATACTCTCTGCAGGTCTTCAAATCCATTTTTGCTTTTCTCAGGCTCTTACACACCGCCACAACTTTCTGCTTGGCTTTAATGCACTGTGAAAAGGGGTTTTGGAGTTAGACAGAGGTTGAGTTAGAATCATATAAAGTTACTTGACCTTTTGGTCTCAGTTTTCTCCTATATGAAGTGGAGGATTGCAACAGGGAAATCTGAGGATTAAGTTAGATTACAATATGTGAAGCTCCTAGCACCGTGCTTGGCACATGGCAGGTACCAAAGGGGTTGCTCTGCTTGTGGTTATGACTAGTATTATTATTATTATATGAAACTGGAGTAGCTGTTGCCAATCCAAACCAATCAATCAGTCACCAGGCTGCCTCATGTTAAGTGCAAGTATTAGGATATCTGCCATCCAGGTCACAAGGGCGTGTATGTGTATTCATTCTGGTTCTCTTGCAAGTTGCCATTATGACTAATCCTTGCTGCTTGAGTGGGAGAGACCACTTAAAACACACCCTCAGGAATGAAGAGGAGAAAGTTCATTCTTCTCAGCCTTCCATGTCTTTGGGGACTCAACAGCATTTTCTGTCTGCCTGATTTATGCCTGGCCACACCCTCCATTTTGATGACTTGAACATCATTGGATTCCGAATATCTTCCTCCCCCTGCACCCTCACCTTGGCCCATCCACACACCTCCGGGGCACTTGAGTTCTTGGCCTGCATATCTCATTTCTGATATAACCCACAGCCCCATCTGATCATTGTCTCCTGCCCAGTGCAGACAAGAGGAAAGGTTGGGGGAGGGGAGGTGAAGAGAGAGGATGGGGGAAGAGAGGACGGGGATGAAATCAAGCAAAGAAATGACTCTCTTTCATCTTAGATTTCTGTGATTGTGTTCCATCCACTCACCAAGAAAAGGAGCACATTGTCTTGGAATGGCAAGTGTCCTTAGTGTGCAGAACACACAATTTTCTCTGCTGTTGGCCTCTGGATACTGCCAGAGGTAGTGGCTGTTTAGTAGAGTTATCACTTTATACCTATAACTTCATCTTTTCACTGCCCCAAATTTGTCAGGTTTTTTAGTGTCATCCATTGACAGTGTAGAAGGGCTTCCATTGTTTTCAGTGGCCCTCCCAACACACATGGAAAGAGAATGAACTGTACCTTTAAATTTCTGGCCTGGATCATTCCTCGTTATTCAGTCCTTATAATAATAACCCCCAGCAGAGAAACCTCCAGCCTAAGGAACTTGGGTGGGAAACAACCCCTAGATCTTTAAGGATGAGTGGCACCTAATGGGTGAATGTGGACCCATAGTTGTCTGGGGATCTAACAAAGAGCAGAGCAGATGGGTTTAAATAAGAGCAGATCTCATTCTCTCGACTTCTACACACCCATCACTTGCAGCGTAGCTTCCAGGGAGATTCATTTCCTGCCCTGGTGTATATCTTGCTTGATAGCACTAAAAAGAGACCATTTCTGAGCATTGGTATCATTGGAAGTATTGGTTGCTTTTGGCAGTATGTTCCACTAAAATAATAATTGACTTCTCCCTCACACTTCTCTAAAATGCCGTGGGTGGCACTCTCCAATGCAAAGCATACCCCTAGTCATAGCTGGGCAGCTCAAACCAGGAAGCAGGCAATAACAACATTGCAATTCTGACTACTTGGGTGCAATGCCTGCCTCTCTCCCAACATTTGGTACACCGGGCAATCCCAAAGTTTGTCAGTTGGTTGTTGGAAACTCCCATAACAATAGGGTTATTTGTGGTGCTTAGACTCTCAGATACAGGCCACCAAAGCTAGTCAATGCACAGTGTCCTTAAAGCATGGGATATCCACTGACTATACTATTGATATGTGGGGTTCCAGGAACATATTTCTCCACCCACCACTGTAAGCAGAGGAAGATCTCCCCCTGCACCCTCACCAACCCAACATGCCCAACACAGGTTGGCCAAAGCTCTATGGAGCTGGGTGGAAAGCTGAGAAAAATATAGGAGGCATGAATGTTAACTCTAGAGAGAAGTGATTGCTAAGAGAAATGGAGGTAAGAGACTAACAGTCACACATGGGTTCTCTGTTATCCCTCCTAGATTCTTCTTTCTGCCCTAAGGCACAAGTCTGCCAGTTCCCTTTCCACCACCGCCATTTGTTGTTTCTGACCATGCTTCTTCTTCCCTCCCCACAATGCCTAGGCCACATTAGAGAAGCTGTCTCTTTATGCACCTGTCCCAGATGCAAGCCTCACAACCATTGTGGATGTAGGTTAAGTTCTTGACTAATAGAAAATGTATTGCAGCTCCTGGAAATGGCCCTGAGGATTACAATGGCTGGTGATGGAGGCTGTGAATGATGACCTCCTGTGGGCAGGGGGATAATTGCCCTGGAGCTGCCAAAAGCATCCACTTAAGTGATGGTTGGTGTCTCGGCTCCCTCTTAATACCTTCCTCCCCACAACTGAAAGAATTAAAGGAACATAGCTATGAGACTGCCTTGCATCGATTGCCTTTTTGCCCTTGTTTGGGAAAACTAACACTTTTAAGGTCCTCAGACTTTGAGAAATTTATCAGGCCCTTGTGAACACCTTTTCTTTTTTAACGAGAAACTAATACTACGGAGACTTTAAGATAATGGATTCCTAAAAATGTTGGTCATTTGGCTTCGTGTTTGCTAAGCTCCGAGTCCGATAACTTCTTCCTGCCAGGTTGTCTGTGTGCTTATTAAGCTGCCACCAGAGTCTGGGGTGGGGGGAAGTAATTCTTTACGGGTGATCTGTGATACAATCATTGGGAACAATACAACAAAACAGAGTAACCAAAAACCTACTTCTCCAGCAAAGGAAGTGGTGGAAATCCCTGGCTTGAGTCATTGAAGAATACCCTGAGCCTGGCGGTATAACATAGTCAGAAACAGGGAGCCGGGGTGCTGTGAGCAGCAGGAGAGTCCCACAGAGCTCAAATGCCCATGATTCATGAGTGAGTGGGTGAGATTCTCCCAGACAAAGGCTACGTGGAGATATCCTCTACCAGATGGCACAAGAGAGCTTTCTGGGAAGCCTGAGGCACTGGCTGGCTGGAGAAGGCAGTTTGGTCATTTCTCTAGCAGCCCAAGATGGCCCAGGCTTTTCTGGGGAGAGGAGAGTAGTAACAGCCAGATGCTCAGTCCCCTGTTTCTCCTTCCCCTCGTCCTGCTTTTATTGCCAAATCAGCACAGTCTGGCCATGAGTTGTTCCTCCATTATTTATCTTGCATCCATTCTTTACTTCCCATTGTCCTTGTCCAGTTAATGTCCTAGCCTGGATCATTGCATCAGCCTCTCCCAAGGTCCTTTTTCTGAACAACTCCTCTCATATATCCTCCACACTATCAGTGTGCTCTCTGACCATATTACTCCTCCAAACTCCCCACCACCAGGAAAGAGACTCCAAATCCTGCAAAACTGCGGCCCAGGCAATCCTAGGAATGTAGGGATCCTAGGAATTGGGTTTCAGAAAGAAAAAAGCATCCTTTCTCCAGTAACTACCTATCAAATTCTTTTCAAAAAGCTCAAATCCCGCCCCCTCTGGGAAGCCTTCCCAGATACAGAGGTCAGAAGTCATCATTTATCCCTGTTATGCTATAGCTCTTCCATTGCCCTTTATGAAAACCACTAGCAGCAGCCTGGTGGGTAACAGCTATTTTCGAAATGTTGGCTCTCCCACCCTGAAGGCCCTAAGTTCCTAAAGGACACGTCTTGTTTATGATAGGTATAAAATAAATATCTGTTTGGTGAACAAATAAATATTTTCTTCTTGATATAAAAACCTATGTAAATGCATGAATATCTCCTCAGTACATTTGACTATCTAGGGATATATATGTGCTTATTGTCCTTTATTCTAGAGGAAATCAGTGAGTGAAAAAAATATCTTAAATTTCTAAATACTAATTTGTCCATGGGTTTAACTTTTCTAACTCAGTTACAGAATCTCTGGACTGTAGTTCCTCCCCAGTAAATGAAAACTCACCTACAATGCTACCCCAAAGAACTATCTAACTCCGGCTTAAACTCCCCTGGTCATGGGGAGTTCACTACCTACCAAGACACACACACCCCCAAAGTAGGAAGGTCCTTCTGACAATGCATCAGTCTCTCTTGGCAATGACTCCCCTGAACGTAGTCCTGCCTTTTGCCTAATGCCTCCTACTCAACCCATTTCTAAAATGGTTACCTCTGCAACAGAACTTTCAGTCTATCAGAAAATTAGCCGGGAGGCACCACCTGAAGTTCCCAAATCTCAATCAGGTTAGAACACAGTCCTGGGATGACGGTGCGACTGCCAGACACCACTCCACCTTTTCATTGATTGATGTCTTTCCAGCGGGGACATCCCACCCTCTTTCTGGATCACTGCAAACTTTGAAGAAAGCTTTCTCACACCATCTGACCGAAGGCAGGCTGCTTCCTCCGAGGCACAAGAGACCATGAATGCCAAGCTGCTCCTGGTCATATGATCTCCATGAGTCAGCCTGCGTGTCCCTGCCACCTTCCTCAGCATGACACCCGAAACTCCGGCAGCGGCTGCTCCCTAAGGACACAGAGTAGGGCTGTGGCACGAATGTCTTCCCAGCCTCCGCACATGCAGGTCAATTTTGCTTTTGTTGGTTTGTGTTTGATGTGTTTGTTTCCCAACGGGGAGCGTTTGCGTGGGCAAAGTGGATGTCCACTTCACACAAAGGGAGAAAAGGAAATACTCTCTCCTGGAGCAGCCACAGAGGATGCATCCGGGAGGAGGAAAAGGCTGGGATTCAAGTCAGGCCAGTGGATGAGACCTTGGATGCGCTTCTCTGGCCATTGTTATTGTTGTTTGATATCAAGTGTACTTTCCATTCTAAGTATTGTTTTCACGGAGGGGTGGGAAGGGGGGCATTAATTTCTCCGTGGGAAATGTGTGGAGAGAAAGCTCCTAAAGAACCATTTCCTCCTGCCTCGGGATATCTGACACTTGATGTGGGAGGCGAGAACTCTGGACTGCTCCTCACTGTAGACACACCAGGCCACGCCTATTGTTTTAAGTGCAGAGACATTTTTATGACCTGGAGAAGCATCAGCCATCTAGCAGCAAAAGTAACAAAGATCTCATTGCTCCAAGGAAAACATCTATTTTTTTTTTATGATCCTGGGAAAAGGGGACTGCATCTTCCAAGTGCTGGCTATCATAAACGGGGCGACTGTGGAAAGGGTAGTGTTTATGGGCTCTGGTATAGACAGACTAATACAGCCTCTCACATAGTTAGGGAGGAGGGGCTAAGGGGCGGAGCTGGGGGGGCAAGCATGTTATTTTACAAAGAAGAAGAAAGAGCACTTATTAGAAAACCAGTTTCTCATGAAACTTCAGCCTGACCAGCTGCTGACTTTGGGAAAATCACAAAACCTTCCTGGTCCACGGCTCCTAGAGAGGCAGTACCTAATGGTAACGTGCGCAGGTTTGCTGTTCAAATCCTGACTCTGCCACTTCTTTTTTTCTTTTTTTTTAATTTCCATTTTACTGAAGTCTAATTGACACATAAAAATTGTCAGACATTTAAAGTATACAACATGGTGATTTGCTGACTCCATGCTTGTTAACTGCAATCTGTAGACCTCATAGGGTTAATGTGAGGATTAAAGGGCCACGCCTGACACAGAGCAAAGACTATACGGTGGCTGGTTGCTCAATTATGTAAAAACAAGAGGCTTCAGCCAGCGAAATGGGCTTTTGGCTTCTCTGGCAGAGTCTGAGAGCCAGCAACTACGCTAAAGGCAAACAAATAGCATGAATCTTGCTTTTGCAAATGCTCCCAAGGAGAATTCCAAGTGTCTCTCTTATTTCCCCTTGTCCGGGGAGGGAATGGATCAGGGCCACATCTGCAAAGGCCGAGGCCAGGCTTGGGCTGCGAAGAGGCAGCCAGCCCACGCCCCCAGACCGCAGCTGGTCAGGCCCTGGGCGAAGTCTCTCCCAGGCGGGCTGGGACGGAAGCAGCAGTGTCTTATGCTTCTGTCAAAGAGGAGCTCTCTGGCGGCCAGAACGTCTTCAAGGGAGAGGTTGCCAAAATAATAACTAGGGTTTGGAAAGAAAATCAAGGTGTGGCCCGGGCCCAGCGGCGCTTGGGCGGGTCGACAGTAGATGGCGGCAACATGCTTCAACCAGCAAAGCTGCAGCCTTGAAGGGTGGCAACGAACTGGGAGGGGCGCTGCCCCCTCAAGGGGGTGAGGGGTGCCCAGAGAGCACTGGGTGGGCTGTGAGTTTTGTCACTTTTTAGGGCAATTGGTTGTTTAGAAGTTCAGAGGTGGTTCAGTTATTCAGTCCAGTCCCTGGACAAAGGAGGAAATGGAGTCCCCAGAGGGAAAGCGGAATGAGAACTGAAGCCCATCATCTCCCGCCATCTAGGCATGGCTTCTTCTGCTCCAGGGTGATCTCGCTCCTGTATTAGAGTTAAGCAGAAGTTCTCAAACTACCCTGTTCCCCTGCTACCTCCTAGTTAGTCAAGGTGTCAACACAGCCCCCTGAGAACAGTGCCACTGGCAAAAACAAGGGTCTTTTTAAGGGCCACTGCTTCTTCCCGCCTGGCCACACAGGCCCAGACCCACTCCCACACTGCAAACCCTGAGATGAGCTCCAAACATTCCGTCCTGCCCCTCACCCTCAGCACGGAGTCCCCTCCTCACGGAATCACAAAGCAAAGGGAAGCTCCAGGCCTCAGCTCTCTCTGAGCTGTGTTCAGCTCTCTCTGAACACACCCACTGGCCTGACTCATTGTTTCAGGATAGGAATCCTCTCTCCGATACCCTATAGCTCCAGCCAGTTGAGGAGGGGCCTTTGATTACTTGAAGGAAGAAGTCTAAGTCTCAAGGACCTCATTTGGCTCTCAGCTCTGATCTGATCCTTCTGAAAAGTGTTGAGAAATGTCCGGGAAAATCTCTGCTCTATTGGCACAAGTATTCCATGGAAACACAAATGATACCAAGGGTGTATTGACCAACATGTGTGCCTGCGCAACTTAAGATTCTTCACCGGGCACAGTGAACAGAATGTTTGAACCTGAGGAGTGTCCTGAAACACAAAGGGTGTGTGGTCCCCAAACAGGAGGGAGAGACTCAGGAATGGCAACATCCTCACACTTCCTGCTTTTTCACCACCTTCACCTTTCCCTGTTCACTTTGCTTTTTCTCCCTCTTCTAGGCTTTCCATTTGCCTCTCTTCTTTGTGCCAACACAGGGGCCCTAGGGAACACAGGCAGTCCCCATTTGCTCCCTCCTCTGCCCTTTCCTCCTACTAGCTTCCCTTTCCTCCTCTCAATGTGTTCCTCATTGGCTCCCATCCACACCTTGAAGGCCACACCCTCACGCTGCAGGGTCTCCCTCCTTGCAAAGAGGGTGGAGTTCCTTTCCCAGGACCTGCTGAGTTTCTCCCTGAGCCTGGTTGGGTTGCTTGGCTGCTCTCAGTCTTGACAGCCTTAGGTGGCCTGCCCCTCCTCATCTGAGCTGGCTTCTTTGTGTTTTACAAGTCAAACCTTTTTATTTTCTCCCCAGAGCTGCGTGAGTGCTCATTGCTATTAGATGATGAAGCCGGCAAACCCCATGCCTAAGAAATCTCCGAGTGGATGAAGCAGAAGAAACTACCTGGGTCCTCGGTCCTCTAAAATGGTCGTTTCAGTGCAACAAGTTGCCTTATTTCACTTTTCTACCAATTTTTATGGATTAAACTAGCTATGAGCCAAGGATTTCTCAAGATAGGAATGTTAGGATCTTGGAACAATATCATTTCAGAGCCACACAGGGGTTGAAAACCCCCAAGTTCATTGAAAAAGACAAGGGACCTAACCATGGCCCCACAGCAAAGTTGGGACAGGACCACAGCCCCTTTATCTTCCTGTTCAGTGTTTGAATCTACCCCAGGATTTCTGCCACCAGTTTCAACCTATGCCTAAAGGGCTCCCATTTTTTTCTTCCCGTTCGAAGACCAAATTCATGAAATAGGCTCAGAAAACACAAAAACGGCCACACCCACATAAGGCCAACGGCACTAGGGGCTGAGGAGTCCGCTTTAGTTCCAGGAAAACACCATTTTCACAACAGGAAAGGAAATGTCGATCCAAATATTTTGTTAAAAGGGAAGAGAAACAGCAACATCCACGAGGATTTGTAGTTTTATCTTTACACTTCCTATCAGTGAACCTTCCAATTAGGTTTACCTAGCCAGCGCCAGGGACCAAAGCCTTACCAAGTTCGATCCTGAGACATTGTGTTTGGGGTGGGGTGCCGGGAATTCATTAAGCTACTAATCAGAACCACATTTGGGCTCCCTTGATCACTAAATAGAAATCAGAGTCATCTGGGCAGGACTGGGAAGAGGATTGGAAACGGGAAGCTCCTGGTCAGAAGACCCCCGTCCTGTACTGGTTAAGGATGATGAGCTCCCTCAAGGGATTGACATCCAGATCACCTGCCGGCAAGGCAACTAGACCCAGCTTACAGCGACTGGCAGCCTGTTCCCATAGTTACCATGACAGGTGGTAACAGTGTGAAGGCACGAGCTACAGGAACTCTGGACCAAGTTAAGGGACAACCCCCAGGTGGCCAAGTTAGAAGCCTCTGTGTCTGGTATTAAACTGACTTAACCATGACCTTGTGGGGAGCAACTGGGTGTGTCCCCTGAGTATGTATGTACATCTGAGAGTCCCAAACAGCTCTGAGCTTTTGTATATACAAGTGATAAGTTTAAAGAAGGTAGAAAATGAAATACCTCAGACTCAAATCATATGGCTAAGCTTTACTACGTGCATCATTTCAAAGATTCAAAATGTCTCCTGCTCCTTTTGCTAAGTCTCTGGCAATAATATTCACAATAATCAAGTTTGATCCATTAACAATTAAGTAAGGGTTAAATGTTGAGAGGTAAGAAGCACTGGGTGGAGCAACAACAAAAATGGAATATTTTCTGGGTCACTTCAGGACCGAAGAGCTAAGAACAAAGAATTGAAGTTCTAGAAACCCAATTTCACTGGATTTGAGAAACTCTAATCATTAGGGCTGTCCAGCAAAGGGGGGTGGGCATGGACGTGCACTCTGAGACACTGAGCCTCCCATCCCCCACCCCAAAATGTTAAAGAAATGTCAAAAAGTTAAAGAAATGTCAAACATCTGTCCAAGGTAGTGTAAAAATAAGATTTTGGCATATTGTAGGGGAACGGAAGAGTGGATCTTGAAGATCCCTCCCAGAGTGAGAATAAAATTAAGGATGGAATATAACTAAATTTGTCCTGTGCCCTTTTCTCTGGCCATTTTTTTCAGATGTGTTCCCCATCAGGCCCTGATGAGCCTATAAAAAGCTGTTTTGCTTCTTCCTGCGGGACCCATTGATCTCAGTGGTCCGGCATGAACCAAAACCCACAGAACCAGCTAGACCAAGCCAAGAAGGTCTTCATCCCCAGCACGGCCTTGGTGAAGCCCATTTGGTAACACTTCCCCCTACCCCCCGCCCTGTTCTTCATGTCCCCCTGGGAACTGCATGGGCCCACGCTGGTCTCAGGAGGGAAGTGGGAAGAGTTGGGAAAGCCACAGTGAAGTCTTTTCCGTGGTCTGTGGAAGGATGTCTTTCCTTCCTCAGAGGTCTGCCCTGAACTCCTGGGAGGTAGCCAGCGTCTGTTCTGAGATGTGATCTGTCCTGGGTTGGTCCTTGACGGCATTCTGACAACTCCCAGGGCAGTTCAGTGCCCTCTATGTACAGTGTTGGGGCTGGGGGGGGGGGGGGGGGGAGGCTCTGACCAGGACGCCAGACAGGATGTCCCGCAACCCTCCAGACAGTGCTCCGCCCCCGCCCCATTCTTTAGAGTCTGGGGTGGAATTCGATCCTCCTCTGAGGGGGAGAGGCAGCAGGGGAGGAGGATATGACCCTCACAGTTCAGCCTTGTGCGATATAGAAAAACTGCCTTCGCTAAGGACTCACTGCTTCTCGGAGGAAGAGGAGAAAGCGGGAATCAGAATTGCTTTCTCTCTCTCTCTCTCTCTCTCTCTCTCTCTCTCTCTCTCTCTCTCTCTCTCTCTCTCTCTCTCTTTCAGTTGCCCTCAAAGCCCAGGAAATAACAGCAGCCTATTATCTCATTTATAAAACTACAGGATAGCGTCAAACGGGACACAAAGAATGCAATCCACAATGATTTACACACAGAATTTGCAGTATTTTCCATTTGCTATTAGCTTATTAGTTTGAACCCACGCAAAACAAAAAGATGTGTTCTAACTTCATAGAATACCATTGCTATCAACTCAATAATGGCTTCCCTAATCCACATCAGGTAATCTGGGGGGAAAAAATTAAAAAAAAAAAAAAAACAACAAAAAACCTTTGAAGCAAGTGTGGGAGTTGCCTGCATCTGGAAAAGCTGCCCTTGCGTTTACTTAATCACCCCCCTGAGGGCAGTTTTCCCGGGAGCATTGCCTGTGCAATGTACACAGGCTGATTACATTTAAACCTTCCCTTCCAACGGACTGCGTTTCCCAAGGAAAAGTCTAATTTCACCAGACAAGCTGAATCCTGTCATTTTCGTCCTCCTCTTGTTTATGTGTGTGTGGCGCAGGAGGGAGGGGAGAGGGGTTGGAATCCACCCGTAACTGTGTTGAAATAGGCCACACCTCAACCAAAATGCTAACCTAAAAAAAAAAAAAAAAAAAAAAAAGCAAACAGAAAGCACCCTCCTTCCTTTCTCCAGATTCGCTTTATGATTAGCATGAGTGTTTGCATCTGTGCAACCACAGCTTGGAAGCGTGAGACATACACGTCCCCGAACAATGACTGCCTTCCACTTAGAAAACTTTCACATCCACCTAAAAAACATTATTTTTTCATCACTTCTGATGTATCAACTGTTCCCTCGGCACTAAAATCCAGCTATTTCTGGGGTGGAAGCACAAAGCCATTCAGCATTTGTTACAGAACCAGATGAAGCTCCCCTGCCCCACCCTCTCCCCCAGTTCCAGTTTCCCGCCTGCCTCTCCCATCCTGCACATCTGGCCAAGGAGAGAAGGCGCTCGGGCTCCAGATTCTGCTAAGTGAACCCCTCCCAGAGTCATATTTGAAAAAAGCAGTTGTCTCTCTCTCTCTCTCTCTCTCTCTCTCTCTCTCTCTCTCTCTCTCTCTCTCTCTCTCCTCCCTCCCTCGCTCTCTAACGGTTCTCTTTAAACAAAACCCACCTCTCTTTCTCAACCTGTGGGGAGGAAAAAAAAAAACACACTTAAATTCAAAAATAAGTGAATGAACAAGCCAAAAAAAAAAGACAGTCGTAAAAGCCACAGCAAAAATAAACTGAAAAGCAACCCTCTATCCACCGTCACCCCCCAAAAGACCAGCAAACAACCAACTAAGCAGACACAACTCAAGTCCTGAAGCGATTTTTGAATCAAAATGGAGGAATGGAAAACATCTGGCAAGCGCCGCCTGTCATTTCAAAGGTTCGTGGTGTTTCCTCGGTAAAGACTGTCCTCCCCAGGTGTGTTCCAAAGTCCCTGCTCCCCTCACATCTTCAGAGCAAGCACCCAGGCATGGCAAGATCACGACCGCCCTGTCCTGCTGAGTTCCCCGGCCCTCCCCACCGTCCAGTTACATTTCTTCGAACTTTATGGAAAGAGTCGTCTCAGTATTCACTTGTAGCCAAACGTTTCAAAGGTTCAGTGCAAGGAAATCACAGAAGAAAAAAATGAAAAGGGAAAAAAGAAAAAAAAAACTTAGAGGAGGTCCAAAAAAACAGAGCAGTGGAAAGGAGAGAGAATTCTCCTCACTGTGCTGGGAGCTGTCCTACCTGAGGATCCAGCGAAGGAGGTGTCTGGAGTGGCAGGAGCTGGCAGCTGCCCGGTCTGCTCTTCTGGAGGTTTGTGACCACAGTGAGGGGAGGGACCTGCCTCCCGAGGTTATAAGTTTCCTGCACTGGTGTGCTGGGGTGTGTGATGGGCGGTTTCTTTCCCTGTGTTTTAAAGGAGTTTCTATGAATCAGTCTGGCTTAAAAAAAAAAAAAAAAAAAAAAAAAAAAAAAAAGACTTGTTGGTAAGCTACGCCCTTCTAGGTTGGCAGGCTGTCAAGAGAGGTTGGGAGTGAGCCATCAATTCAAAGAAGCCTGTTTAGGCTCCCTCTGACTCAGACACACACAGACCACAGTGGAAAAAGGAGTGACATTGCTTCAAATGAGTAATAGGAGTCACACAAATAGATCTGTTTACCGAAGCCCATTCCTCGTTACCAAAAGGAAGACTTGGTTACCAAGGGGATAAGGCAGAACACAGTTATGTGCCCAAACTTCTTCTGGGAAGGGGGAGAGGGGAAAGGGACAGTATCCTGCCCATTGAAATCCTATGTGATCGGCCGAGGAGAGTCCCATGCTCCCTCTCCCCAGCAAACGCATCAGCTGCTGTTCACCATCAAGCACGATCAGATTTCTTTCTTATTTACCTCCCTGCCTGATCGGGTGCACCGTCCTCGAAGGAGTGGCCCTGGAGGCCGAAGGGGACACGCCAAGAGCCCGGGTAAGGCTGCCTCTGAATGAGGGCGCACCGGTTGGACAGCAGGCTGATTTATCACTGCACTCGGTGAATGCCCATGCCGACTCCACACCGTCTGGAGGAAGTGGCTGAGAACTTTGCTCTGTGATCTCCATGCACTAATCATGTGGACCTTGCTCTACAGTTCGCTTTCCTGTGCTCAGCCCAGAGCATAATTGGCACAACCCCCCTGCACCACTCCTCCCTCACTCAGCACTGGAGGCGGGAGAGGCCGGAGGAGTCATCTAATCTCAGCCAAGGCATTCCACTGGAAAGGAGAGCCCTAGTGTGTGAGTTCAAGTCCTGCTCTCCGCCTTATTATCAGTGTGACCATGGCAAATCAACCTCTGCATGCCTCAGTTTACTTGCGTACAAAATGGGGGTAGAAAGTTCCATATCTCATAGAATTATGGTGAGAAACATACAGAGAGCTTATAGCTCTTATGCTTGGCACATAGTAAGCACTCAATCAGCGTTAACTATAATGATTGTTGTGCTGAAGAAGAAACTCAGGCCCAGAGAGGTAAAGTGACTGATCCAAGGAGACACAGTTAGTTAGCAGGAGCAGCTTGGTTCCAAGTGTGTCACATCTAAGCAACTTTATTTCTATTATTCAATTCAAGTTATTCTTATATAATTATTCATTCATTCATTCAGTCAGTCAGTCAACCAACATCTGCAGGGCACAATGTCCTAGGCACTGTCAGAGCAGATGTGAGAAAGATTTCTAGGAACTTAGATGCTATAAAAAACATAAATAAATAAATAAATAACAGACTGGTGGCTATTCACCTAATATTGATACAATTAGGTGGTAAAATTATAGGTGGATTTTAGTTTCTTCTGTGTCATAGTTTCCAAATCCTCTGCAATGAACCTATACAACTTTGTTTTTTAGGGGGGGGGGGGGTGTTAATGGAAAGGAAAGAATATTTTCTGAAGTAGATGATGAGGAAAACACCACACACACACACACACACACACACACACACACACACACACTGATTTGATGCCACAACTTCCCAAGTCCAAGAACTGAATTCTGTCCCTGTCAGGATGAGACAGGGTAGATTTTTCATTAAAACCTGATGATGTGGCAGCAGATGGCTTCAGTTTCTCCCATCTTTCCTCACCCGCCTCCCCCGTCACTTGTTTGATAATAAAAATGCCTGTTTGAGAGGAGCCACTCCCAGCAATAGGTTAGTCCCTGTGATCTCTGAGCAGCCTAACCCTCAAGGAGGGCAGGATAGTGAGGCCCAGGAACCCTCTTGGGCTGTAAGAACAGAATGACACACATTCTCTCGGAGCAGCATTCTATCACTCCCCCTGGCCTTCTCCCACCCTTCCGTTTGCCTTTCACCCCCAAGGCCTTCTGCCAGTTTCAAACTCTCTTCCCACTGCCTGGCAATGGAGTGAGCCAGGGATCCGCCCTCTTGCACATGGTTTCTCACCATAATTCTAAGGGAGTGGATACCATAGTCTTCCTAATGGACCTAATAAGTCTCTCCTTCCAAGAACATTTGGAGATGTAGGGTTTGGAAATAAAACATTAAATGCTTTGGCTCTTAAAACACACACACACACACACTCTCTCTCTCTCTCTCTCTCTCTCTCTCTCTCTCTCTCTCTCTCTCACACACACACACACACACACACACACACACACACACACACATAGCACATAAAGCTAAGTTGTGTAAACATTTTTTTTAAATAAATGCCAGTCCCGGATCTCTAGAGGCTCATAATTAACCCTTGAAATGGTTAAGTATGAGCTCATTTTAAAAAGCAAAGTTATCAAGTCTGAGGAGGAAACTGGACCTGTTCTGGCTGCGGCTCTGGTCCATTGTGCCTCTGGACGGGAGTAAAGCAGTAAGGCTGTTTCTTTCCACAGCTGTGAGCTAGACCATTTTAAGGCTGCGGACAGAAGCGTGAAGGGC